AAGAAATGGTGTAAATTTCTAAGTACCTATAGATTGTCTGCATGAATTCTTTGGATTTTGTACGCTCACACATATCGAGTGAATAATATCGTACATGTATTGCTAACGGCAATAAGATAGAGCACACACACTCGCATTTAACATGCACTTGCGATCAACCATCGTTGATGAGTTCGAAAGATTGAAACGAACGAATATGCTACCAAACATAGCTTAACTTACTCGGTCGCCAAATTTTCATTGTTCAGCTTCTCAAAACTTTATATTATTATCCCATTCATTGAAGAATGTTTGCATATTTATCCAAATTCGAATGCTCTTGATAAAATAAGCAACGCTCGATTGTGTATAATGCATAAAATGTTGCCAAAAAATGTACAACCATCTCGTCTAAGGAAACATTATTTAATTTTGAAAATCATTTAATATGTAACCAAAATAAAATAAATACTCACCACTCGATATTTATAGTATAGCTTTTGTCCAAATATTTCGTTGTCTTTCTCATTCGGCTGTATTTGACGAATTTTATTTTTCGGTTTTGGACGATGTTTATTTTGAAAAAATATTATTATTCATGAATTATCAGTATTGGTAACAATGGATTTGTTTAAAAGTATTTGAAATTTTTTTAATTTTTTCATCGATTCAATATTAAAAATAAACAATTTCCAGTTTGAAAAGTTTTCTTTATTAGTACCGATGTTTTGATGATCTTATCTTGAAGTTGATCATCTGCGATTTTTTGCCTTCGAACAAAATTAATTGATTTTGAATTTGTGATCGTATTTTACGGAACTGATCATTTTCTATTGTTATGTGAATTAGACAGTTTGACAGGAAAAGTTAATTTTCGTGCAAACATTCATGTTTTAACAATGAATGTGATACGTGTGCTCTGCATCGAAATAAATTTGGTTTTATTTCATCACTCTTTCAATATATCAATAGTTATATTTCGATCAGGAGTAGGTAATTGAATGCCAACGACAGGTACTTTACGTCCACCAAAGCTAATAAATTGATCTCTATACCTTTTGGCCCTAATATCCGCGCCGGATTTATCAATCATATAGAAGAATGCTTCAATTGGTATTTCTGCACAATTTTCACTCCAGGCCTCAATGCGTAGTTCGTTTCCTCTGTATCCGCTGTGATTGACACTCATATTGTAAGTTTTCTGGTAATGAATATTTGCGGCAAGAACCAACTCAATTTTTTTAGCAGCGGTCTCAGTTGTCATATCAAATCCACATTGATTTCTTCCCACATCAAAATCATCTTCTCGATCGTGTTCAAAATACGGTATCCATTTTTCTATAGAGTTTATACCTTGTAAATGACAGTGCTTACTTGTTCCAGATTTATCAAAATTAAAACAGTGAATATATGAATTCGATATCTGCTGCTCCGAAGTCAAGAAGGCTGGTGGCTGGGTATACGATCGGGTGGTGTTTCATTGTGAACGATATTGTACAAATTTTGTGATTAATTCAGTCTGTGATCAGACGGTGAATAAATAAATAAAAAAAGAAATAACCTTCAATGATTGTCCACATCCGTGAGATTTGTCGCGTTTATCAGTATAGGCATTCATTGCAAAAGCACAATACACTTTTAGTTTATTTTCTGGAGATGCAGTTTGATAAAGAATGAAACCGGACACATAGCCACGGGGTATAGTAGTTGGATTATCTGTCCGTAGAAGTATCATCGAAAATGCTTTAGTTCGAATATTTGATTCTTTTTTGCTCCAAGCATATTCGATATTATCTTTTTCAGTATCAACACTACGTAATAAAATTCCAGAACATTCGTATGCTGGTATTGCACGATTTTTTTAGCCCAAACAATTTTTTGATAAATCATTATAACGTGCTTTTAATTTATTTACAAAATCGATATCCGCGTGATATTCACAAATCGATTTGGCAACTAATCCAAACAAAATAAACTTGATTATGAACATTTTAACTTTTAATCCGAATTTTCAAACAGTATTACATTTTAAAAAGCGAACATCTCGTATTTATATCATGAAAATAATCCATTGGTTTTTTTCTCATTGCGTAAATGGTTATCTATTGCGTAAAATTAGATTGAAAATTAGATTAGATTTACTGTTTTTAGATAATATGAGTGGTCAGGTGTTGTGGCTCCCTACTGGAGTCAACATCGGAAAAGTGGGAAAAATCGATTTAAAGTTTTCCCAATTTACATTTATTATCGCAATATTTGTATACATTGAGAAAATAAAGAGGTAATGTCAAATGCCTTTATAAAGTCCCTAACGCAGTTTCTTACACTCTTTTACTCACACACAAACAAAACAAAATGTCAAAAAACAGCTGTTCGAGCAAACCATTCATAACCAACTTCATGCTACTAGTAGATTCGGAATGAAAATAATGTTTGAAAATTCTATGATATTTTGAAAAATGAACTAATTATTTTGGAATTTTTCAATCTGTTTAGAATAAAATAAATTTTTAAACATTTTTCGTAGTAACCATATTTTAATAAACATTCATTTATTATTTAATTTTCAAAATTTCTATCAATTCACAAATTATAATTCTTAGCACTAGCATGAAGTTGGTTATATGTCAACCTTTATTCATTCGTATAAAAACATATTATGTTCACAAACACATAAATGTTGGGGAGTTTTGACAATTCCTCTTTCCAAAAATTACGAACGAACGAACGTGGTCATTGTTCGTTGTTCGTACGAACATATGAACGAACAATCCGAACAATTCATTTTCTACGAACGAACAAACGAACAAAAAGACCAAAAAAATATTCTACAAACGAACGAACGAACGAACATTCGTGGACAGCTATGGTAAACTCCTTATTCGTATGAGTTTTGTACTTGTTTTAGAAGCTAAGTCAATATATTGCTTCACACGTGCAATTTAATACTCTATTAGATGAACCCAAAATTTAAAATATTTCATATTCAACAAATACTTTAAAGGACCGAGTACGACGTATCCCCCTTTGCTAAGCGAAATTAATCCGATATACGGCGCTGATGTGAATGTCACTCTATGTCATTCCACAATAATACATTTTTTGGCTTGACAATACATAAGCTCTTCATTCAACATGCATAATTTTTGAACGGTCGAGTAAAAAAAAGAAACATATCATAAAATATTCTTCTTACGTTTATCATAAAAATTCTCTATATTTCAAATTTATTTGTTTAAAAATAACAATAATTTCAATTTTTTTTTCATAGATTGAACAAGAATCTAATGTAAAAAGTAATACCAATGCGACACCCACCGTTAAAATAGAAAAGGAAACTTATTTGGAATTGTAACATTTTGGTCCGCCATAACAGCATCTTCGTTTTGCTTCTCTGTGATTGGTCAAGTAAAACGAAGATGCTGTCATGGCGGACCAAAATGCTACAATGGAGACCAACTAAGTTTCTTTTTGCATTTTTACGGTAGGTGTCGCATTGTCATTACTATTTACATTGGATTCTTATTTAATCGATGAAACATTTTTTGTTGAAATTATTGTAATTTATAAACAAATTAATTTTTTTATAAAAAAAAATTTTAATAAATTTTTTAATGAAAAATGTTAGAAAAATATTTTATGACATATTTTTTTCAACGATTCAATAATTATGAATGTGTATGCATTTTAAATGAAGAGCTTATATATTGTCAAGCCAAAAAAGTATTATTGTGAAATGACAGAGTGACATTTACATCAGCGCCGTATATCGAATTAATTTCGCTTGGCATAGGGGGAAATATTTTGACAGATAGTACTCGATCCTTTCCAATGCTGGTTTTTTAATATAAATTGTAGTACACCAGCCAAAATTTGATAATATTAAAATGTTAAACAAACGAAAAAGTGTTTTGAATTTAAAGATGAAATTATTCATTGTTTTGTGTTTCATTACTTTGGTGAGTAAGCTTAGAATATTGTCCGATATTTGTAGTGGGGTCTATTAATTTGGGGAATTATTTAAAATTCCATAAAGTTCATGGATTACAATTATAATTTAGCCACCAAATCTTAAAGCATTTTCAAGAGCTTTCAAATTAGAATCAGAAATAGACGTACGTGTTCGACAAAAAGTCAATTTTGTCTGTCCGTCCAGCAATAATTTAAATACATCTTTAGCGTTCAGAAAATCGCACTCTTAATTTGAATTAATTTATAGATAAACATATTTTATTATGCACAAAAATGATCTGTTTAATAGGAGATCTGTGCTTCGCCTGGCAGCTCCCGTAATGATAAACATAAAAGTAAGATGAGGTTCCCGCTGGTTTCGATTCAAGGACATTTTTGTGTTTTAAAACGTTTAACAATTTTTAGATGGGAACGCAAGGGGAAAACCGGTACTGAAATACTAAATATACTCAGAAGTATTGAAAAGTACCGAAAAGTACCGAAACGTATCAAAACGTACCAAAACGTACCAAATAGGTATTCGTTTAAAAAAAAAGTGAATAATTTTTTCGTGTTTTCGACTGTCTTTTTGGTTTTATATGGCAAGCTTGTATGAAACTCTCGGAGACTCGGTATAATGCACAAAAAAAGTGAAAAAATGTTTTTCGATATTTTTGTGCACTATACCAAGTCTCCGAGAGTTTTATATAAGCCTGCCATGTAGTAGCAGAAAGACAGTCGAAAAGACGAATTTTTTTTTCAATATTCTCGACTGTCTTTCTGCTACTACATGGCAGGCTTATATGAAACTCTCGGGAACTTGGTATAGTGCACAAAAATATCGAAAAAAAAAATTCACTTTTTTGTGCATTATACCGAAAGTTTCATACAAGCTTGCCATGTAACACCAAAAAGACAGTCGAAAACATGAAAAAATTATTAACTATTTTTTTGAAACGAATACCTATTTAGTACGTTTTGGTATGTTTTGATACGTTTCGGTACTTTTCGGTACTTTTCAATACTTCTGAGTATATTTAGTATTTCAGTACCGATTTTCCCCTTGTGGGAACGTCATATCGGTTTCACAGCCTTTTTTCCCAGTATCATCCTTAAGTGGAAAGATTAGAGAGATGACAACAGACATTGGCATTGAAAATATTGGTAAAGCTGCAAGCGAATACAATGGCACTACATGGATGGAAAGGTGAACCCGGACATATTGATTTTTAATCGTTGTACCCACACCATTGCTGCAAAGACACTTAGTTATTAGCGCCATCTAGTTCGTGCGAGAAAAAATCTTCACATTTCACACACGTACTATTGAGTTACTTCACTATGCAATACAGTGAGGGCGCCAGTGATACGTGTTTTGCAGCAACCCAGTGGTTGTACCTATTTAGTTTGTCGATCTCAACACTTTCAGATGCTGTGGCATGAAAATTCCAGACTATTCAAAAGTGTTCAAAAGATTTAATGGACCCCCAGTGAATCCTCAAGACGAGTAAATTCATCTTTGAAGAAAAACATTGCCACTTGTTAAAATGACTTAATTTCAAATCAAATTCCATTTCAGAGGTTTTTTTTCTTTCTTAAATCCCATTATTGAACGAGTAAATGGTGTAATAGATAATTTCGATGCAGTTTATCCGGACCACTTTCTCATGCGCTTAGTTTTTAAGTTCGTTGGTGATTTTTCCAATCGACTTTTAACAAATATTTAATCTTTATTTTGAATTTCAGTGATATTGGCGCACTTGAACAAATTGGAGATGAGTTAAGGCAACGCTGCGATAATAATCCGTATGACATAATCATGTTATTATGATATAATCATTTAATTTGATTTCTTTTACAGAGAAATGTCGAATATTGCAAAAGAGTTTATTCAGAGAGTTTGCATCGATATTCACACAACAATTTGCAAGTTAAAGGGCGCAGATGGTCCACATGAACCGGTTGTTGTTCATCAACAGGGTTATGATGATCAATAATGCAATTTAACGCACACAATATCCCGAGTTTTTCTAAAAACGGCCTCCATTTTTTCATAATTGATTTTATTTTCTCTTATATCGGAGGAACAAATTATAAACTGAGAGTAAAAATAAAAATTTTCATTGTTTCAAACTACCATCACTTGCTTTCTATATCACCTGTATATTTTTTTTGAGCTTCACGTTCCGAGCGACATCTCTATGTGCTTGGCATTGAACTCGCGATCCAAACGAGCACCAAAGGCAATTAAAACATTTTTTTTTTTTGGTGCGAAAAAGTCAAAAATGTCAACTGATTTTGTGTGAAGAAAAACCATGTGATATGCAACGTTCTCGCAGTTAATTTCGATGACACAAACTGTGCAAAGTAATTTCAATTTATTTTCCATCACAAATTCACTAAATACAAATAATAAATCGGTTTTTGTTCAATTTACACGGTATATCTTTATCGAGCGTAAAATGACAGACGTCACAACAAATGATTCCGTATTCAAACTTCAAACAATTAACATTCTACACAAACTTTTTGTTCTAATTTTCATGAGCACATAGAGATGGCGCCATCATGCAGTTTTTTACATTATTTGCCATTGTAAGTGATGGTAGGTTTCAAATCATATGCCAAAAAAGCATTTTTTCACTTACCTAACTTATCTGAAATTATAGACATAATATTACTTGAACAAAAAAATTTCTCGTTGTTTCATGCATTGTTTCTTTGGAAAGTTTCACATTGAGTCTCTCATATCAAACAAAAAACCTCTACCGAGGTGGAGAACAAGTACATTTGTACATTAAAAAATTAATGAGTAAATAAAATCCCAGAATATCTGGCCATTTGTGAAAGAATCGATCCGACGGCCAACCAATGGGCCTCTGGTCGTCGAAAAAAATTTCTTTGGGATGTTTAAATTGGCCTATCTTATGTGAAATTTTGCGTATAACACGATGAGAACACATCCATGGTGCATAATTGTCACACAGTTTATTTCGTCGTGTTTCCTTAAATCGAAGATTGAATGCGTTGCCACTGTATGCGACATTTTTAAGGTCCCCCGTCTCCTCATATATCTGCGAACTCTTTCGTCTGTGAGTTCCTCACTCAAGCTTTGTCTCGCTCTTTTTTTCAATCTAGTACATTTTTCAATTGAGCATCATTCGCACATCTATGGCCGTTGCTACCATGTTCATATATGCATCCCATGCTGCACTTGGTATTTACACTGTAAAATTTGCACCGTTTCACAAATATTATTGTGTCAAAACTCGAAAGAAAATAAGTTTAAAATTAGATTTGATAACGACATTGGCCATAAAGCACCGCAACCGCTTTTATTGATAAAATAACCTTAAGTGGAACATAAAAAAACCAGAGCTTCTATTCAATGGGTACATGCTCGCATCGCACACCATAAGACTTTGAAGCTCATAAATTTTAAAATTACATGCGTCCCGTGTTTAGTTTGTCCACATGCACACGTGAACGTATTTTATGGCATCAAACACCGGGATGACTTCCTGCTGCAGCAAAACGATTCAAATAATTCAAGCAGTAAACGATCGATCGCTGTGAAAATGACATTCAATTGATGACAGCACGGTTATATATCAGTGATGTTCATCTTTTACATGCATCCACCAACCATCACAAACATCAAAACACAAACCAAAGCTCTGTGTATTCCGCATCTTCTTTGTTTGCGGTCGAAAAAGTAATAATAATATGAGGAAGAGAGAGAGAGAGGGAGAGAAGAAGAAGTTGTACGAGGGTTGCTCCATAATTTTTTTTAAAAACATATATAACACAGTTGTTTTTTGTCGAAAATGGTTTTATTGTTTTTCAAAATATTCCCCGAGATGATCGATACACTTTTGCATTCGATGAAACCATTTGTCATAGCATTCGTGCCACTCCGAAACTGATATCTCCAAAACGTGTGTTTTGAACGCTTCAACTGCTTCTTCTGGTGTCGAAAATCGTTGACCACGTAGTTTTTTCTTCACGCTTGGGAACAAAAAAAAGTCATTGGGTGCCAGGTCAGGACTGTACGGTGGATGACCCATCAGTTCGATGTTTTGACCGGTCAAAAATCGAGTAGTTTGAAAAGATGTGTGAGAGCTCGCATTATCGTGATGAAGAATTATTTTGGGACGGTGGTTGTTTTTTCTTATTTCACCAAACACTTCGGGCAAACAAATGGTGGTATACCAATCAGAATTGACGGTCTTACGATCCTCTAGTGGAACGGTTGCCACATGACCACTTCTCCCGAAAAAACAGGCGACCATTCGCTTCGAAGTGCTTCTTGCTCGAACAACTTTCGTTGGGTTATCTTCATTTTGGAAGACCCATACAGTCGACTGCTGTTTCGTTTCGGGCTCATAGGCATATATCCACGATTCGTCACCAGTGACGATTTTATTAACGTCTTTTGAAGCACCACGATTGAATTTCTTGAGCATTTCTTTACACCAACTCACACGAGCCATTTTTTGTTCATCGGTCAATTTATGTGGGATCCAACGAGAGCAAATCTTTTTTACGGCTAAATGTTCATGCAAAATTGTATGTATGCTGTGGGATGAAATGCCCAAAGATGCCTCAATCTCACGGTAGGTCACATGACGATCTTCCATAATCAGTTTTCTGACAGCATCGATGTTTTGTGGCACAACAGCCGATTTTGGACGACCTGTATGAAACTCGTCTTTGAGCGAACTACGACCGCAACGGAATTCTCGGTACCAGTTATAAATTGTCTGAAGGGTTGGTGCTTCATTGCCAAAGGCCAAATGAAGTCGATCGAAACACTGTTGTTGAGATAATTTACTTCGAAAATCGTAGTAAATCATTTTACGAAAATCTTCACGTGTAAAATTCATTTTTTTGTTGAGTCGCAGTTTACCAGTCACTGTAAACAATACAAATAGCGTTCGTACGACAAAAGGTTCAGGGCACGAATACATACCAAAACATCAAACTTTACGAATATGACAATGGTTTACATCGGGCAACACTATAAGTACCATTTTAAAAAAAAATATGGAGCTACGTACACGTGAAAACCAAACTCTGTGCTCGTTGCATGGACTTGATTTGGAATCGATTTAAGACACACAAAAAAAGATAATTGAACGTAAAAGTGCACGTTATAAAATAAAATAAAGTTTTGTGGATAGTATAACAATGGTCGTTGCACATTTTATCGAATCGAAAAGGTGAAATAAACAGGTGAAAATGACTTATTCTGATTCGGAATTGTTTCGAGTTTCGAAATATTTAAATAAAATATGAACAAAACTTGTGTGAAAAAAGACGAGTGGAAATGATTTACGCGCGCGCTCACAGGTATAATATGTGTACGATTTGGCTTTTGTGGTCAAAATAATTATTTTTTGCTTGTCGTTTGGCTGGTCAACTGCATGTATGCACACAGAAATCCCACTTCATTCTTTATATATGACTGAAACTTTTCAACCGAACTGTATTTGAAACAAACCAAAGCAGCGAAAAGTATAGAAAGAGGGGGGAAGAGATCGTGTGGAACAATTTGACTAATTTAAACACAATTACGTACTTGCTTTCAAAATGGACTCATTTCCGTTACACAATTAAAACACAAAACTAATTAAATCTTCGAGGACTAGAAGAAACACTCACTCAACAGCATATATTCGGGTCGTTCTTCAACATGTGTCTCAACAGTCGATAACCCTTTAACCTGTCATTTCGATGCTGATTGCTTCGATTATTACGAAATCGGCCACGATTCATGATGAAATTATTTTTTCCTAAATCATATCGTTGGGCCTATCCCCTTACATTCATCGGGGATCGGTTTGGATCAGTTTGAACTCTTATATGATTGTATAGATGATGGCCATTATAGGTGATTTGATTGAATTAATGTTTACAACTCACATTCCCATCACACGATGGTTCAACAATTCATCGTGTATGATTCCAACTGCCGAATGTCCATCCCAACATACCATTATGAGAAAGAACTGTGTGAGGGAGAGAGAGAGAAAGAAAAGAAACGACAGAAGGTCATCGGTGGCCAATTACAAACAGTAAACGCCAACAAATAAATGTAAACTTTTCAGACAGATCTGCATATGGTCAGGCATTTGGATTGCTTTGGCCATTTTTAACATTCATAATCCGAATGGAAATCCTTTGCGGAGAGACTCTCAAAGTTGGAAGTATTCCCAGTTGAATAAGCAATGTCATAACTAGCTAGTTAAATGGTAGCGAGCGCCTGCCAAGACATCTGCCATACCACGATTACATTTTTATCATTGTGTGCAATTGCCTTTTCATTATGAATTCTTCTGAACGGATGAATGCGCCAACGACATTTACATACTTTTGACCGTACAGCACAAGATGCATATGAAAATTGTAGCTAGCAAAGGGACAAAGTTGCTCTTACGAACTCTGAAATTGAAGAAAAATGAATTGACAGCGTCGCCGTTGTCGTTGTCGTCAACAAATTCGTGGTTGAATAAAGTAAAAGACGAACAAAAAGCCAAACTTTCAAACGAATCTGAATAAAATGCAAAAAAAACCAACCGAGTTTTCAATTTGTTTTCGTCTTCTAGTGCGTGATATTTTTAGTTACATGTCGATGAAGGAGAGAAATATATTCATACACACACACATATATATGAAATATAGTACATTGTTGGTGCCGTCGGTGGAATTGGTTGTTAGAATAGCAAAATTGAATTCATATCTAAAATGCATATTTTCAATTTTCATACCGAAACCAGCAAAAAATGATTTATTGCAGCCAATTTCGTGTCGTGATGTACAATGTATACGTTCTCGCATTTCCTGACACAGCTCCAAATTCACAAACATTCGATACATGTTCAAAAATGACTGATTGTAAGTAACAAAAGCATCTTATGTGCAACTATACCGAGTGACGAATTGAATTTAATTCAACCACACGTTATGGTACTAGGTCACAAAATCAAGTCTACCATCGAACAACACGATTTCGACACTTTTCACAACTTTTCGAGTTCCCGGACATAATTTTTTTATTCGAATTGGTGAATTTGGTGAAATCTCAACAGCACCCATGTGGAATAGGCATGGTTTGTTGGTCGTCAATTGATT